AAAAAAAAAAATTAGTTGTATTGTGTATTTAGTTGAATTAGTCTTTAATATCCAAAGAAGAAGATGTGTGCATATGAACTTGATATCTTGTATAACCTCTAGAACATGTATCAGAATAGATAATCATAAGTTGGAACTGAGTTAATAGTGTAATTAATTAAGGATATTAGTAATTTGGAAGTATAAGTGTGATAATTGATCATAATATATATAAAAGAGATTAGTAAAATATAAACATATGGAAAATAAGTAAAAAGATATTGATTTTCTAAATGAATAAATAATAAAATAGCCTTTTGTTAATATAATGTCATATTTAAAGTTACTATTTATCTGAAGTTGCAACTTTAGATATATAAAGTTGACCTAACTTAAATTAAGCCCATAAAATTAGATTTTTATACATATAATTCTGACTAGGTGCAACTTAATATATCTAAAGTTGCAACTTTAGATAGATAGTAACTTTAGATATGACATTTTGTCATCATGAATAAATATCTAAAATTTAGTAAATTGTATTATTTAAATAAAATAAAAGTATTTTAATTAAATATCTGCATAACTTAAAGTTCAAAAGTGAAGCTCTATAAACTAAGCTAGATAATACATTTTTCTAATTAACCCAAATACTAGTTTGAATTAACTCAATCAAAATTTTTTAATACAAATAAATTGGTTCCAAATTGGTAAATAACTACAGTCCTATTAATTAATTAACTCATTATATTAAAATACATTAATAAATTAAATTGATTTGAGCCGTTATCTGATCAATTCTACATAATTGCATAATTGATATGATAGTGAATGACAGATTTCTAATTAGAAGTGCCAATACAAAATCGATATTAAATTAGTTCAAAAAATTAGGTTCAAAGTTTTATGATCACTAGACAAATTTGCTTATAATTACTAAATAGTATAAAAATAAATTTTATTTATACTTAATGTATAATACTATATATTAAAACTATACATCATGTAAATAAATTCTAAAAAAATACTATGTACTGTATAATTTAAACTTAAAAAACTATACATATTATATATCTACTATACATAATGTATACCACACTATACCATACTTATCTAATAAGTTATACTATACTGGTTTACTATATACTCATTTTAAACATTTAGGTCAATGATTTTTTATTATACTCACACTAAGTTAATGCGAATGAAAGAAAATTGAATAGTAAATATTTATAAACCTAGATAACTTATTTTAAACATTCAAACTAATCAATTTTTTTTATACAGTATTTATACAATTGCAGTAATGGTGACAAAATAAATTTAATAATATTCATGAATTTGAATAGCTTAATTTACTAAAAAAAATCCGATTATAGTAAAATTACTCACTATTTAGTTGATTTATCACAAGGATATATTTGCATGAACAGCTATCATTTTATAATAAAATATTTATTATATTCTTCAGAATCATTAGATGAATATCGATTCAGCAATTAATAATTTTATGAATTATATAGTTTAAAAAAAAATTGATTGACCAGTTTTTATATTTTAAGCTGAATATTAGCACTATTAGCAATTTAAACAAACTACCGGTTTATATGCAGAAGTGACATAGAGTAAAATTCTATATATTTTCTTGCAAATAGATTCATATGTAGCAAATAAAAAGCAACTGCTTAGAATTTCATAATCTGCGAATAATTATTTAAGCATTCTATTTTTGTATTTTGACACCTTTCAAGAAAGTATATTAGATGATCGTTTGTCACAGGCATTTTGCACAGCCATTTTCAGGGACCCTTTATAGCTATTAACTGTCCAATTCAGTGCAAAAAATAGCTTTGATAGTTCCTTTTCATAATAACCAACAGTATCCTAAACACGAGATTATATTTTTGAATTCTTGGATGATTTAGCAAATATGCAATCGACATAATCATATAGAAATGACTGTAACTACATAAAAAGACATTAACATGAAAACCTTAAAAAGCTTGAATAAGATGACTATTATTAAACTTACAATAGTCAAACGCTATCTCAAATCCTTTATAACAACCTTTCTTTTACCAGAAGGATTTTCTTTATCTGTTTCTGAAACTTCCAGTGAATGGTAACTAGTATTATTTTTAATCGGCGTAAGCTCTCAATTTCTAAATAACCTAACCAGTAGATCATTGATTGCATGTAGATGTTCAATTGTTTTAGATCTATTTGTTTGTTTCTACAGATTATAAATGCTATAAAATTAGTAAATAATCAAAAAAAAAATTACAAAATAATTTACTTCATTTCTTCTGTTATTCCAATGCTTTTGTTTAGTATGTTTATTTTGGTGTACAATAGGTTGCTGTTTAAACAAATACTCCTTACGTTGGTGCTTATGACAATTATGAATTATATTATGGAAATACTTTCATGGCTCTATAGTGCCATGGCACTATTGTCTATTAAATATTAGTGTATCATATAAATCAAAACAAACAAAATTTAATTCTTTTGACATTAGGGTAAGGGTAAAGACTAGAAGTTAGGGTTAGATAAGGTTTATAGTAAAATTTTGTAAGGAATTTTTTTTGTTAGAACCCAAAAGGTGGTTTCATAGACAGAATTTTGAGCTATAATCGATTTTTTAAAAAATTCTTTATTTTTGTTACACAAAGCTATTTTTTTACATTACACCTGATCTTAAATTTTAATTGGCTATAATGCCATAGTGCTAAGGCACTATGGTGCTAAAAAAATATTCTCTTATATTATATACATAGCTTTAGAAACTGAAAATATTTCTAAATCTAATGCATTCATTACTGTTGGAACTATAGTATTATTTACTAAATTTTTTTGAGAACTGAATATTTGGTCTAATTTTTAATTGGCTTTGAGCCAGCATTCTTTCAACAATCCAAAAAACTTAATGTTAAATATAAAATATAAAATATTATTTAATATATATGTATAATAACAATAAAATATATAAAACAAAACTTTTTACTCAAACTCTTCCCATCGATCACCTGGACCAAATTTTCTGCTAATAAAAAACAAGTTTTTGTTGAAGAGTTGTGGTCTAACTTGTGGTTTGGTGAGAGGTCTCTGCCCAGGACTCCTCTTTAGGCCGTTCGGCATGCAAGTCAAGAGCGTTGATATTCAAGATAACTAGAAGGTGGTGCTCTTGGATAAAAAATCTTGGTGAAGAGACAAAGAGCTTTTCTCCATCAATGAAGCTTTTAGGCTATTACTTCTTGAAAAAACACAGAGGAAACAACAAACAACTTGAGACTTCAACACACTTCTTAGAAAATTTTAAAGTTCTTGCAGCCATACACCCTCAACTATATTTCTGCTAGTTTTTAGATTTTTTAGGAAATTTTTGCTAACAAAAAGTGGGAGAGTCGGCTTACCCCCTCCAAAAGATTTGCATTATTTACAGGTCCCGATATAGAATAAGATACTCTCAATTATGGTAACCGGTGGTATGTGTTGTGCTATTTTAGTACTAGATAGACTGCTATCGGTGAAATATGAATTAGGAGGTAAACAAGAGTTACGAGTCCATGTGTACTAACGTCGATGCGAAGTAGAGAACTATCTAAGAATTTCTTGCAGGGCAAACTCTACCCCGAAGATGATTTAAATATAATGCAAACTTTATTTAGAGTAGAGCTAAATAGAAGAGTATTATATAATTTTTACAACAACCTGATAATTCTGTTAGGACTTATTTCTTCCTATCTGTTTTTTCTTTTTGTTTTGTTTTGTTTTTTCTTTTTTGGTCATTTTCTTGGAAAAATTCCTTTTGTTTTTTACCCTCCTTTATCTTGTGCCCTTTGAGAAAAGGGAAAAATTAGAAGAGAAAAAATTCAGTCTTGACATGGAGAACAACAACCTGTTAGTGATTAAGGGGTATACCCAAGTCGGTACGAAATCCTTAGCAAGTTAAGGATCTTAAGAGAGACTAATTGTTGTTTTAGCGAGTCGTATTGGGCTTTGGCTTAGTGAGTTTTTATTAGATCAGAACATTAAACTTTAAAGAGATTATGTACATGTTATTAGTCTAGAAAGTGTTTGAACAAATAAAGACAAGACTGTTTAAAAAAAAAAATAAAATAAAATAAAATATATAAAACAAATAGAAATTTATTTACTTTTGTGGCAACTCAGAAATAATGAGAGAGATCATTAATAAATAAGTATTTAGCTTTATATGAATTACTTCGATCCTGAATTGAAGAAATACTTTAGCTTTGAGATCTTGATTAACTCTAGCTCAATTGGTCTTGAGATCTTGATTGACTCTGGTTCAATCAGTCTTGAGATCTTGATCGGTCTTGAGATCTTGATTAATCTTGAAATCTTGATCGACCTTTATTTAATTGGCCTTTAGTTGATCAACCTCTGTCTTGGGCTTGCTCGTCTTTACTATATATGTCTGATTCTGGTCTTATTACACTTCTAAGAAATTCTTCAAACAATTTTTGAATTTTCTGTTGTGTTAATGAAGTCACTTGATCTGAAAAATATATTAATCGCATGAATTATTATATAATATAGATATGCAATCGCAGAGATAAAGCTTACCTCCTTTATTTTTACTCTTTTTCTTTTTTGCCTTATAGCTTCTACCTCTATTTTTTGACGAACTTGATTGAAATTCATTTTGACCATGCTCAAAATGATAGAAGCTTTGGCAATGCATAATATATGATGAATAAGCCTGATTATTACTTTTATGCTGTGGTTCTTTTATATATATCGAACTAAGAATCTATCAAAAAATGAAAATTTTTAAATATAGATACAGCATCATTTATATTGGTATCTTATTATCATATGGTATAGTTATATAACTTAAAATCTAATAACGATTCATCTACGAAACTTACAACATAGTATTGTATAACATAACTATATAGCTTAAAAATTTGGTAATGATATAAGCACAAGCAATATACTATAATATAAAAATACATAACTAAAGATTTAATAATCATGATAAATAAATAAAGGATGCCTTTTTAAAAACTTAATAGATGTATTGTATAAGTTAGGAGTTTAGCAATAGTTTTGTTAATAGTTTTATCAATATACTCTATAGATGCCTTACAAAACTCCTTTTTCCATTAACAAATTGATGATGAAATTGACATAACTGTAAATTTCATCATTAATAAAATGATGAAACTATATAACTTTTTAGATTACACAAGTTTATTACTATACTCCTGATTAATACTCTATCAATATAATAATTTGTTGAATATTTATCACGATTATGATTTACTAGTTCAAAAGAAATAATTAAATTAACAATTTAAACTCTTAAGAGTTATGAAGAAGGAATATTAAAACACTTATAAGTTGATTAATAATAAGGGTGCAGTGGAACTTCTAAGATATATAACTAGAGATAGAATAAAATACATATTTTATATAAATAACATCAAAGGAAAATGGAACAATAGTTTATCATTTATTATTTTAAATAAATAATCAATAAACCAATATCCCTGGCATTAATCGTATTTCATGCATATGAATATGTATAATTTCACATAATATAATTTTTTTGATTTTATCCATTTTACTTCAAAATTTTTCTGAACTTTTGCATTCCTATTTCTTATTTCAGCCTGGCATTACTTTAATTTTCCTAATAAAATTTAGATCAGATAAAATATGTATGATTCTATACATAAATGTGCATGATTAATTATGCACATGGATGAAACCTATTTCTATATATAACTAAATAAATCTTGTAAATTTCTTTTAAGATAAGTGAAGAGACTAATATAGAAGAAGAACTCTACTAAAAAGAGATGCAAAATTAAAAGGCTAGATAATGTAATAAGAGGTATAAAGACTTTAATTTTGGATGAACTATATGTCACGTGAACAAGATACTGAAACGAAACAATATAAAAAATCTTAAATAAGCTGATTTGAATTTAATTAATTAGGAGTCCATGAGTATGCCAGAGAGTATTATAGTAAAATGTGACTCAGATTACTATATAAATTTACTATAGTGCGAATGTGGCCTGCACAAATCTAAAACGTTTTTTTATACTAAGTTAATCACTCTTCTAACTTAAGAGACTTTTGTAAAGCTTGTCAAAATGCATCTAATGGTAGTTAGAAAGTTAAAATTGGCCTGGTGGGTGCTGAGATATCTTTAAAAAACCTTTCTTTTACTATGTAAATTTCTTTGCAAAAAATAGCATTTTTGCAAAGAAATTCACAGTCAACTTTCTCTTAACCAAACCTCTCTAAACCAAACTCTCTCTTAACCAAACCGAAAACTCTAAGACATTTATAAATTTTATTATAAAGTTCAGATAAGCTTATAATATCTCTTTGAGAACTGAACTAAAACCCAAGAATGGGCTGTTCAGATAAGAAAGAGTTGACTGTATATAGTAAAAGAAAGGTTTTTTAAAGATATCTCAGCACACACCAGGCCGATTTTGACGTTCTAACTACTATTAGATATGTTTTGATAAGCTTTACAAAAGTCTCTTAAGTTAGAAGGGTGATTAACTTAGTATAAAAAAAGTTTTAGATTTGTGCAGGCCATATTTGCACTATAGTAAATTTATAAGTCACATTTTACTATGATACTCTCTGGCTTACTTGTGGACTCCCAATTAAAGTAAATTCAAATATTATTCTGCTGCCATACATATAATACTATACAAAATAGTGCTAACTATATTCATAATGACAATTCTACTTGATACGTATTAAGAATTAGAATTGCCAAGATTGGGATCTTGCAGTCTAGTAGTTTAGGCACTCAACCCTCTATGAGCAGGTTTCGGGTTCAAGTCCTAGTAGATATATTTACCTACGAATATTTGGAAGTATCTGCCATGGGAAGTCCAAGTAAATACAGGTTTGAATTAGAAATTTTTAGAAGGAGGTCCATTGTGGAGTAGTTGGCACTACGTGTAATAGTGGTTGTTATAGAAGGTTCTATTACACAAAGGTTGTGTGTATAAATTCACAATTGGCAAGGTAGCACCAACAACCTCTAAGGCAGTATTGAGAATCTTGTTTGGGAGGACAACTGGGTGGTAACCAGAATTGGAAAGTGGTGAGAAATGTGGTGAACACAAAGAAACCTGTAGTAAAGAATTGGCCTTACCAGATTTGAAACATCTCTGGCACATACAGAACTTGCCAGCCAATAAAAAGTTGAAGCATGGAGGAGTGTACATGTTGATAGACCTAACAGGCTCTGATCACACCTATATGGGAGCCTTTGGCGTTAAAAGGACTTGGGACTGCCAATAGTAGTAACCAGAGGCTATAACTGCTGAGAATCAACATAAAAAGAAACAATAACACACCTGTTATCTCTGAGCCTCATGATGTTCTCCAACTATACTGACTACTGGAAGCATTTGCAAAACATGTCTGAGAAGCTTTATCACTATATTGGAAAATACAGTCGTTAGTACAGACCTAATTGGATACATTAAAGATCTGAGTCCTGAAAGTCGCAGGAAACCAGCTAGTTATAGTAGCATGCAGGCTTGAAATACTTACCTGTTGGGTAGAGGCAGCTGCATGGCTTGAGATACGAACTCCTGGAAGTACGCTAAGTAGGGATTGATAGAAAAAATCCCTCTGACAGGCACACCAAACCAGAAGCAATAAGTTCCTACCTGGTACACACCAATTTGGGAGTTGAAGATAAATAGTTTGTAGATAATGTGGCAGATATGTGAATACTGATTGGTGGTTGGGAAGAAATATATAAAATTCAGATCAGCTGTATAGTGGGGATAAAGTCAGCTCTAATGGGTTTTAGCTATAAATAAATAGTTTGTATACCTGATATTCTAGTCTTAGTATTTGATATAATATGTATATGTATCGGCACTATTATATGTCAATCACTTAAGTATTAAATAAAGTCTAAGTGCGGGTACTACACTTTTATAATTAAAAAAAATAAAAAAGTTAGAATTGCCGCAGTTATATATGAGTATCTAAATTATTTTATTTCAAACATAAATCAAATAGACTAAAATACTTTTAATAGCCTAAATAGTAAATAATTTTGTCAAAAATATTTAGAATACGTACTAACTAATTCAAAAATAAATTAAATACTTAATATTTAAAACACAGTAATCCAAAATTCATCACAAGTTAAAAGAGATAATAGTCGCTCTAAAGTGTCAATTTCAATGTGATTAGCAAGTGATTATTATAGTGCTCAAGCCTAATTATATTTACAAAAAAATTTTAGCTAAAAATTTGAATACGCAATTTATAACATAATTGAAATATTCTCAAGTATTAATTTCAATGTGATTAGTAAGTGATTATACTAGTGCTCATTTATTATAATCAATCAAAATAATCATTGAAGTCAATACTTGAGCAGTTTCTACTAATTTTTTATTATTTGTCAAATGTCATCAAAAATTAAAAATAAAAATAAAAATAATGCCAAAATAGTTGAATTTGTTGCTATTTGAGTAAAAGCTAAGAGATAGAAAGTATTGATATCATTTCTTGGGCTTCCCAATTTTTTTTTATTTTCTATAAAAACTTTTAATACAAGAAGTAAAATAATAATTTGTTGCTATGCTGTTGAAAATGATGATCCATGATAAAGTTGCTTAAGCGATCTATTTGAATACTCTAATGTTTGTAAAAATTTCAAAGACAGGTATAAAAAAAAGATGGTTTGTTGTAAAAGTTTGTTGATCGAAATGAAAAATTTATTTAATACCTTTTACTAATAAAAATGAGTATTATATAATAAACTTTATTAATTTACTAATAAACATGCTTAATTAACTTTAAATATTTTCTGCTATATAAAATTTATTTTTTAACTCATTAATTAAGATGCTTCAATATCCATCACTATAAATGCAATTACATAAGTATACTTGATTTTCTTTAGTATACCAAATTGTAGTTCTTAAACCATTGCTATCTCTAATTTTTATTACCCAAAAATCAATTTTCGATTATTGTTATTTTCTTAAAAATGCGTATTCAATCAAGGAAACCATGATCATATAAATATTTAGTATTATCAATACCTAAAAGTGATGTTGTATATAAAAAATATACAAGAGTTTGACTCAAAGTACCATGCTACTATAAATTATATGACAGTAAAATAGTAGATACAAGAACCAGAAAGGCGCATGAAGCGATGAAAGAGTGGTATTAAGACTTTATCTTCAATTTACTAAAAGGAAAAGGTAAAGAAAAAATAAACAAATGCTAGTCTGTATTTTTGTTTTCCTTATTTTAAAAAAATTGTTTTAAAATTATTTCTGCTAATACCTATGAAAATAATTCAGATAACGGTAAACTAATTAAGAGTTTTCTTGCTAGAAGTCTAGTGCTATTAAAATAATAACATATATTCGATTTAATGATATTGTCATAATTCCAGACCAAGAGTCTGAACAGCAAACTTATTTATCTAATAATTCATCTGACAATTTATCAGATGAAGATTCTGAACAATCTAATGATGGGTTTAGTTTAGATAATAATAATTGTAACTCCAACAAGCCAGATCATAGTTGGATTTTAATTTGGGCGTTCAAGTATCAAGAAAGATTCCAGCTTCCAAAAGTCGGGATTAATTTATTAATATTCTTCTTAAAGCTTCTTTTGTCTCATTTGGATAGAAAAAGATTTGAAAACTTTCCTTCAAACATCAATAAAGCCAGAAAATTATTAAAAATTAAAATAAAAAATAAAAAATTCACGACTTGCCCTGACTATAATAAGTTGTACAATATTGATACTATTCCAAAAAATACTGATAATAATAATCTAGAGTTTAAGTGCACGCACATTGAATTTCCTAACTATCCATTAAGATTTAAACGTGAACCCTGCAGATTAGAATTGTTAGTTAAAATACCAATAGGTGATAGGTATATTTGGCATTCTAAAATGGTATACTCATTCCTTGTTTAAAGACACAAATATCTATAATGTATCAAAGACCAGAGTTCGAGGAACTTTTGCGTAAGTGGACTAATCAGTCAGCAAGCATTCTTAATGTCTGATATATACAATAGTGAAATTTGGAAAACCTTCCTATCTGATAACAATTTGAAAGAATCAAAATTTTTCATACCTGAAACCGCCAATTCACATCTGAACATAATCATCAATATAGACTGGTTCCAGCCTTTTGACTTAGCTTCTTATAGTAGTGGAGCAATATATAGTGCAATTTGTAATCTACCACAGGAGATCCGATTTAAAAAAGAAAATATATTGATTTTAGCTCTTTTGCCAAGACCAAAAGAAGTCAAGTTACATCAAATTAATAATTACCTTGCTCCAGTAGTAGATAACTTGTTGGAATTTTGGAGAGGAGTTGATTTATTAGCAACTTACAGCTATTCTTCTGGAAGAAAGATCCGAATAGCTGTAATTTGTTGCAGATAATTAAAAAATTCTGTTATCCTATTTTAATAAATACCACTAGACCTCTCAAACTGATATATATAGTAAGAGGATATCAAATTTTAAACTATTGCAAATTATTAGATTTATATAGTGAAAATAGACTGACTTTAAATAAATTTCAAAAATTAATTTTTTTAATATAAATTAATATGAAAAATTTAGGGTTAGGGTCCCATAGCCTAGTGGTCTAGATGCCTAACCCTCCACAGACGAGGTAAACGGTTCGATTACAGCTAGTAGTAATTAATTTAATTAATTATCTCTGTAATCTACAAGAGCTTTCAAATGCGAAATCCTGTGATGATAAGACCATGTGAAGTGCTTATTTGGCCTATAAAAAATTCTTGGAAGGAGTAACAAGCCATAGAGAAGACTTGGCACTATATGTGACATGGCGTCACAGAAAGTAATACTGCATAAGGCTGTGCATGTAAATCCTCGATTGGCTAGGTAGCACCAACAACCCTAAGGTGGTCTTGGGGATCTT